AGTGCGCCCCCTTCCCCGGACTCTACGTGAACGCAGAATACTTTGTGCACTGGGCTTCCCTTTTAATAAATCCTATGGAATTGCCAAAAACAATAAAGTAGAAGGGGCTACAATAAACTTTGAAATTCAAGATGCTCGACTTGTGCTGCATCTCACCTGTGCTAACTCCTCTTGTCGCTTCTTAAGTTTATCTTCTCGCTTTTTCCTATTAGAATCTTGACCAAGGATTTTCCTTATTGCTTCAGCCTGTAAAAATCAATACATGTAAAGAACTTACATAGCTGTACGGAAGCTATATCAACATAAGCACATAAACTAGAGCAAGAGGTATAAACCTCAGACTCTCGAGCAGCCTTTTCAGCTTGCATTCTCCGTCTTTGTGCAGCCTCAGCTTTCTTCAACTGCTGCTCCACTTCAGATAGCTTCTCCTTTTGTTCTGCAAACAGATCAAAATGAATTTACCAGCTGATCCTGAGCTAAAGCATGTAATCCACAGAAGACAGGGAAACATACTTTTAGGTGGTGGAGGTGGAAGCCCATGCGGGAATCCAATTGCACTCAAGCCTGCGCTGGAAGAAATATCTTTTCCAGTTTGAATTGCCTGTTGGCGAGTAGTGACAGCCAGTTTTGTCCCACCATCCACTGAGAAATCAATGAATTCCTTTCGTTGTTGCTTCTTCTTGGGTTCTAACTCAGTATCAGAAAGCACCGCTCCTTCTTCAGAGTCAGTATCCTGAGATTCTCTAGCTGATTTGGATTTCTTCATCCCTTTACGTGCTTTGAGCGAGTTGTAATCACTAATACCTGCACCATAACCATTGGTAGTTTGACTTAACACCCTTGATATCTTCCGTTCCTTTTTACTTCCAGGTTCATCAACACCCTCATAGCCAGCACTATAAATAGCAGAGTACTTGGAAGACTTGAGCTTCTCCAGGTAACGGATCTCATCATCATCATCATCTTCTTCATCATCTGATAAATGTCTTTTAAGCACAGGTTTGCTTTTATGAACTGGTTTATATTTTCTAAATTGTTTCAAAGGGGCAATCTGCCCAGGTAACTGATCCTGCAAGGAATCCACTCTCCTGATGCTAAAACCAGTTTTAGCAAAATCCTTCCAGGGGATACCTCGTAAGCCAATTGCCTTGCCAGTATAAGAGGGATGATGTCCACCTGTATTCTCCTACAAAATATGAAAAGCAGACCTCAAATTAGCCTCTGCCGACACTAATCACCAGTACGCCAAGAAATCTAATAAATGTCTTCTTTTCGGTCTTGGGGGGGGGGGGGGGACGGTCACATTCTTATGGACTTAGCTGGTGGCTTTTAAGTTTAAACTTTTATCAAGGGAAAGAGACTGCAAGCTGATGTCCCCACAGGCCACGAACTTGGATTTTGCAGCCATGAAAAAAAGAAAACCACTTAAAGAAGCTCAAGAGTTGCTGACAGGACAGACTACGAAGCTCTAGAGAACTTTCAACATGACAAGCTCATTCAAGACAAGATAGAGAAAGTTTGTAACTAAACGGTAACGTAAGTTAGGGCAAGGGGCGAGAAACAACTTTTGCTACAAGGCTTTCATTGTTTCTTTACAATAGTGTCTTCCGCATCAGGTACGTTTTCTGTAAGGCAGATCCTGGCATGCATTAGGTTATGTTTAACACATGGGATTTGAACCCATGCCCTTTAGGACCAGAGCCTTAATCTGGCACCTTAGACCAAGACCATTTAGGTTACAATCTTCTATGCAACATCTGGTAAATACCAATGGTAAGCAACACCATTTCTTTAGTGTTAGACCAAGGTGCATCCCCAGTCAGTATGATGTGTTTACTAAAGTTTCATATAGCATGAAATGTGTGCAATGGAGTGCTAACAACAGGTCAATGAATAATGACCTTTGGTTGCCATGGTTGGGGAGCATCTGAAGAGGAGGAAGACTTTGTTGAAGAGGATCCAGCAACAGAAGTGTGTATTGTTCTTGTAACACCGCCAACCTTGAGTTTCACTGTCTTGACTTTATTGTCACTCCCAGCTCCATCTGATACTATGCCATGCAGTCCAGAATGGTTATTGCAAATCACAGTTCCGCTTATTTGGGGATCTTCTATATGAGATGCTGTGACGTATCCCTCACTAAATCTGTTCATATCTATCTGACCATCCTTTTGTTCAGTATCACTGGAACGGAAGTCTCCAGAGTTTCCATCTTCCACACCTTGATTCATGGCAGTCTCCGTGCCACTGAGGTTACTATATGATGCTCCTGAAATATTACCATAATCAACAATGTCATGACTGGATGCTCTGCTCAAACTATCAGATTGCGGCGTTGATGAAATTGATGAATTGTCAGGACAATCCAGAAGCATCTGGGACTCATTTTGAGGCCGGCGATACAGATTAGTCCTCTGTTTCCTAAATGCTTTGCCCAACCCAAAACCTCTGAAATTATCCATAATAGTAACAGAGAAGGTATACCCAAAGGCTACTGCAGCTGCTACAGGCAAAAGACACAGATAAATACTTAATAAGATCAATGCATTGTGAGATAGCAAGGACTTAAACCAAAATCATATCAACTGGTATCATTGTATACATACATATTTAGAAAATCCCTTTCACTTAACAACAACCAAAATCCTCCACACAAAAAAAGACCTAATAGATGGCAGCAATGATAGAATGAACAATTTGGAGACATCACCGACGATTACAGATTAACATAAAGCAAATATCTGAATCTCTCTGTCTAAAAAAAGAATCTGAATATCAACCAAAATGATATCAAGAAGATGCTCGCAAAGTAACACCAAATTCTAAGATCAATAGATAATTTTGTAGGCCACATGACAGAACAGACTGTAGAAAGATGTTGCTAAAATTAACAAAAATGCGTTTGAGAAAGTGAAACACTTCAATTGACCAAGAAATCAAGTATATTATACTTACAAATCTAAAAAGAACTCTTTTCCGCTAAAAAACAAGAATCGCGCTAAAACTAAGTTAAATTAAAAAGGGAACTCATAAGTAATGACTTAAGTAGTTACAACAGAAGAAATCTATACAAGAGACTTGATTTACTAGCAATTCACAGTTTCAAGAAGCTAGGAATACAACATTCTCAAACCACAAAATGTACTAAAGATTTAAAAAGAACTCCCAACGCCACAACACTTTAACCGACTAAAATTTTGATTGTCCCTTGAAAACCCATCAAACAATTAAGTAAGATAAAGCAAACACTGAAGCTTTACCATCTGGCGTTTCACTCACTAAAACAAATGCAGCAAATTAACAAACAGAAAGTTTACCTTAGGTGTAATGTACAGGCCCTTGAGATAAAACCCTCGAGAAGCCTAATAAGCTCGAAAGTGAAGAGAAGAAAGAAAGAGGTGCGGAGAGGGCTAGTATTAAAGGATGGTGTTACTGTAAAGTTGAGAGCCACGTGGTGACTTCCCAGTCGTCTTCTTGCTCACTGGGTTCTATGCTCTGAAAACACAACCTCGCAAAAAAAAATATATTCACGCGTAATTTAACTTTGTAAAATTATCTTCTTATGTCATCAATAAAATAGTTAAGTGATTGAGATATATTGGAAATAAGCCAACATGGGAGTTCTGAATTTGCATTATTTTTACAAATCTTTTTTGTTTAATTTTTCGGGACAAAAATAATTTGAATTATCCTAAAGATTGAAGTTACTAAGATTTTAGTTCAAACTTTTATAACACAATAAGTACTGGTTAATCTCTAATAGCATCTTAAGAATAATTAGTTGTACGCCTGTACCTCCTTTTCCGTATACGGTGAAATAATATACTCCGAATTTGGAAATTTTAGTCATTCAAATGGTTGGCTTTTGGCTAGTTGAACACCTTGTTGCTGAGAGTTGAATTTCCAAAGGACAAAAATTACAAAAATTAATTTGCATCACATAAAAAAAGAAGATTATAAAAGAAGGTGGTGATTAATTTAACAAGTTGTCTCTTAACAATGCACTGCTTTCCATGTTTTACAATTTGCTTCCTATTATTTGCATCACATTCTTCACAAAATTAAAGATTATACAATTTATATTAAATCTTAGAAATTAGTCACTATTGAAATGTTTTCTAACGTTGCAATGAATAGCATACCAATAGAAAGAGAGTCAATTACGATCACTCGACTATCTAAAATTATAGACTAAAGTCACTTTTCTTTCATTTGTAACAAAAAGTCATTCAGCTATTCCTATTGCACACAAATGGTCACTCAACTAGAATTATCAAACTTTTCGGTGAAAAATATGACGTGGCAGTCCATATGGATATTTTGACCAAATAAAATAATTAACACTCAGCCCGCTAAAAATAAAAAATCCAACCACTAAATAAAGTCAAACGTTAAACGCATCTGCATCTCTCTTCTTCTTATAAAAAATAATTTTTTCCCATGATTTCACTCTAGTCCTTAATCTCGCACCCATTATTACTTTATAAAAAGTAGAAGAAAAATCGGGAAAAAAAAAAAATATAAGTCATTGGGAAAAGAATACCCGTCACTCTAGTCCTTCGTCCTAAACCTCGTACTTATTATTATTTTATAAAACTAGAGTAAAACCATGAGAAAAAAAAATGTTTTTATAAGAAGAAGAAGAGATGCATTTACCACATGCATGCGTTTTAACGTTTAATTTTATTTAGTCGTGAATTTTATTTCTAGTGTATTGAATTGGGTGTACAAGTAAATTTACTATATTTTGTTTGGGTGTTAATTATTTTATTTGGTCAAAAAATATAAAAAGTTTATGTGAACTGTTAAGTCATATTTTTTTACGGAAAAGTTTGATAAGTAATTATGTGTGTGCAATAGGAAAAATCTGAGTTATTTATAAACGAAAGAAAAATAACTTTAGTCCATAATTTTAGACGGTCAGCGTGATTATTTGAGTAATAAATTGATAAAAAGAACGCACGCACATCCGAGGACAATCACAAAACAATAATCCTAAAGTCTGAAAGTCTCTGTTTTTGTTATTTCTTTGGTAAAACGTTGACTTTCCCTCTCCCCACCTTCTTTATGTAAACTTTAGCTGTAATTTTTTTTAGCCTCAAATCATCAATTCCAGTTTCTTGAGCTTTGCTCTATGTCTACTGAACTGAGATCTCAAGTGTTCTTGAGTTTCAATGCGAAAGACACCGGCAATAATTTTGCAGATCATCTTTATGAAGCTCTGGTGGGAGCAGGTTTTGTAACATTAAGAAGCTGTGGTGATGAAAATGAGGGAGGTAAAGAAATCAAGTTAAAATTGCAAAAGGGTATTAAAGAATCTGGGGTTTCAGTTATTGTCTTCTCAAATGATTATGTGTGTTCAAGTTGGTGTCTTGATGAGTTGGTAATGATCTTGGATTGTAAAAGGATGGCAAGACGTGCAGTTCTGCCCATATTTTACCACGTGGATCCTTCTGATGTTAGGAAACAGAAGGGGAGAATTGGAGAAGCATTTGATAGGCATGAAAATCAGGGAGGGAATCAAAGTGAAAATGAGGGGAATTCCAGGGTTAGAAAATGGAAGGAAGCACTCAAAGAAGTTGCAGACTTGGGTGGAATGGTCTTACAAAACCAAGCTGATGGGTGAGTTCACTAACTTTAAATACACTTGTGACATTTTTCTTGAGTATTAAACTAAATTATGAGAATAGGAGCCTTGGAGCAACAGAAAAGTTGTCGCCGTGTGATCTATAGGTTACGGGTTCGAGCGAATTAGCCATCGATGCTTGCATCAGGGTAGGCTGCCTACATCACACCCCTTTGAGGTGCGGTCTTTCCCCGGACCATACATAAACGCGGGATGCTTTGTGCATCGGGCTGTCATTAAACGAAATTACGAAGGGGAAGATGATTTACGTAATAGTCACATCCTGTCAAAGATATGCCAATATAGTAGTAACTTAAATTGATGGAAACTTTGAGTGTCTTCTATGCTTGATATTCCAAGATCTGTGCCCAGACATCTACAGACTTAAAGCAAGTATGGCTCTCAATCAAACACTAGAGTTCTAAACATTTCAATTGTTACCATGTAAACACTCACCTTGTGAAATGGGAAAACAAGAAGTGCTTCTAAACAAGATGGTACTTCAATGTAAAAAGATATACAAAAAAGAAAGACCTTTTGGTTCCAGTTTTGTCTTCACTTCCTTGTGGACAAAGGAGAAGCTCTAGTCTGTATTAGACTTTTCCATACCATTATCTTTATTCTAATTGCTTAATATATTTTTATCTTAGTCCTTCTAATTGCTTAATACATCACACTCCTGGGGGTGCGGCCCTTCCCCCGACCCTGCGTGCGGGATGCTTTGTGCAACGGGCTGCCCTTTAATCCTTCTAGTAACGGTTTCTGTACACTCTATTAGGCCTCTGTGTTTCCATCATTCGTGTAGCAAGATTTGGTTCTCGATTCCAAAAACTTAATGAGTAACTTTTCGTTGGTTCCTTTTCCATTTTGTTAAACAATTTCAGACACGTGTCCAAATTCATCCAGAAGATTCTTAAAGTGGTTGAGAATAAACTGAGCAGGCCAGTCCTGTATATTTGCCCTCATCTGATTGGAATAGAACGGCGTGTTGAAAAGATTGACTCATGGCTCGAGGATGGATCTACTGATGTTGACACTCTTGTTATTTGTGGCATCGGTGGAATAGGTAAGACAACAATGGCAAAGTATGTGTATAATTTGAACTTCAGTAAGTTTGATGGTAGCAGCTTTTTGTCCAACATTAGAGAAAATTCAACACACCGTAAAGGTTTAGTTACTCTTCAAAGGCAATTTCTTTCTGATATTTGCAAAAGAAAGAAGAAAGCTATGTTTTCGGTGGATGAGGGAATGACTGAGATGAGAGATGCTGTGAGGTGTAAAAGAATCCTTCTTGTTCTTGATGATGTAGATAACCGTGATCAATTGGATGCTCTACTGGGAATGAAGGACTTGTTATATCCTGGTAGTAAAGTCATTGTGACAACTAGGAACAAGAGATTGCTTAGGCCTTTTGATGTGCATAAGATTTATGAGTTTGAAGCTTTGAACAGAGATGAATCGGTTGAGCTCTTAAGTTGGCATGCATTTGGTCAAGTTTGTCCTATTAAAGGTTTTGAAATGTGTTCAGAACAAGTAGCAATCCATTGTGGAGGACTTCCATTAGCACTTGAAGTTCTTGGTGCTACTTTGGCAGGAAGAAACATAGACATTTGGAAAAGTACAATACAGAAATTGGAGACAATTCCGAACCATCAAATTCTCAGGAAATTAACAATAAGTTACGAATCTCTGGAGGATGATCATGATAAAAATTTATTTCTCCACCTAGCTTGCTTTTTCATTGGGAAGGACAGAGATCTAGCAGTAGCTATTCTCAATAGGTGCAACTTTTACACTGTAATTGGAATTGAGAATCTCATTGACAGAAATTTTATAAAAGTTGGTAAGTCTAACATGTTGATTATGCATCAAATGATTCGAGATATGGGAAGGGACATTGTTCGCCAAGAATCACCAGTGGAGCCTGGGAAACGCTCTAGACTATGGCGTTCAAAGGATTCCTTTAATGTGTTAATCCAGAACCGTGTAAGGAATGCTCTCTTATATGGCTCTTATAGTAGGGATTCAATGAAATTAAGTTGTTTTTCACTGATAGCTGATCATTTGCTAAAATTAGTGCTATTCGTGTTGATTCAGTAGTTAACATAGTTCTCATTAAGTTTAATGAAATGGGTTGCAGATGAGGAGCACCTTTGGTTCACACTTATATCTTCTTGAACCAGCAATATTTGTAAAATTTCATTTATTGAGCTAATGATTCTTATTCTTCCAAAAATATCTAAATCCGTCCTCTGGAGTCGAAGTTCTCATTTCTAAGTAGGTGTTTGGACATAAGAATTGTAAAATTCGAAAAAATGGTGAAAATTTTTTCCAAGTAAAAATGGTATTTGAAATTTAGAGTTGTGTTTGGACTTAAATTTCAGTTTGGGTTGTTTTTGAAGTTTTGTGAGTGATTTGTGTGAAAATTTTGAAAAACAGCTTTTTACAGTTTTTCAAATTTTAAAAAATTTCCAAAATGCGTCTTCAAGTGAAAATTGGAAATTATATGAACAAACGCTGATTTCGAAAAAAAGTGAATTTTTTTGGAAAAATCTTCCATCAAATTTTATGTCCAAATGGGCACTAAGTATCCTTCACTTCTTTTTTGGGCCTATAGTGAATGGTAGTGCGAAAATATTTGTTAAAGCAAAGTGAACATATGCTCGGTATTAAAAATCAAAAAGCTTGTCTGAATTTGTATGAACAACTACTTTATAAAAATAATCATGGTCTTTGAACCTGGTTAGAATATTAAAGTAATAATCTGAGTCTAGAGTTTGGGAAAAGTGCAAGCTGAAAAGACCTGTTTATGTTCATCATATTTTTTGCATCCCCTACTTAATGCCTACTTGCGTTTACTCATTATTTTCTTTCCTCTACCTGAATAGGCCACTCAAACAATTCAAGGCATTATCCTTGACATGGATATGCTCAAGGAAAGTGACATAGTTAGCTCAAGCTTTTCCGCCAATGATTTCAAGAAACACAAAACAAAAAACTTTCTCAACTATTCTAATCCTCAGAGAGTTCAATTCAAACAGAAAAGGTTTGATTTTTTTCCATGGCATTTGTCAGACACCAAAGAAGCCACAAATGAGCTGGTTCTGGAAACTGATGTATTTGCAAATATGCAAAAGTTAAGACTGCTTCAATTCGATCACGTTGAGCTTCAAGGATCTTTTGATGTTTTTCCTAAGAGATTAAGATGGTTGCGCTGGTCTGAGCTGCAACTTGAATGCATGCCAATTGATTTTCCTCTGGAGACCCTTGTAGTGATTGAATTACACCGTAGCAGCTTGAGGAAGATTTGGCATGGAGTCAAGGTGTGTTATTATGTGCTTCATTCTTTAAGCTTTAGCAGAAACTTACTTAATTTTGTTTAACTCGGTTTTCATTTCTATCTTTGGTCATTCAGTTCCTTAAATATCTGAAGATTTTCGATCTCAGCCATTCCCACGAGCTTCTAAGAACACCTGATTTTTCAGGACTCCCCAATCTTGAAAAGTTGATCCTTCGATATTGTACAAGCTTGATTGAGCTTCATGAGACCATCTGATGTCTAGAATCACTCATTCTTTTGAATCTCAAAAATTGCAAAAATCTGCAGAGACTTCCAGATAGCATTTGCATGCTAAAATGTCTGGTGACACTAAATATCTCTGGTTGCTCGAATCTTGAATATGTTCCGATGAATCTAGATAAAATGGATTCACTGAGAGAGCTTTATGCTGATGAAATTGCAGTTCACCAAATGATTTCTACTCCAGAAGATGTCCAACCGTGGTATGGATTTCTGCGGTCCTGGATGCTGAAAGGGAAAATTTGTCCTAAAGTTTCACATATTAGTTTACCTAATTCCTTGGTTACTCTGAGTCTTGCCAACTGTAATCTATCCGATGATGCTTTTCCAGTTGCTTTCAGTAGCCTCTCCTTATTGCAAAACTTAGATTTGAGCGAAAATCCAATTTGCAGTCTACCAAAGGGCATAATTTATCTCACCGGACTTCAGAAGCTAGAAGTGGAAGGCTGTGAAAAGCTCAGATCGCTCATAGGGCTTCCCAATGTAGAACATCTCAATGTTACTAATTGCTGGTTGTTAGAGAAAATATCATATCAATCAAGATCATCTAGACTGAAGGATTTGCTTGTGTCAAATTGTGCTAAATTAGTTGAAATAGATGGAAATTTCAAGTTAGAACCCTTAAGAAATACAGAGGCAGAGATGCTGTGCAAGTTGGGCTTGTCGAACTTGGCTTCTATGGATAATATCATGATCAATCTTACGTCTAATATCCTGAGTTACTACAAAATTCATGGTAAAGGGTGGACTCCAACAAGGAAGACAAAGAAAGTTGTTCTTCAGGTATGTCTTGCTCGTCATTTTTTTTTTCTTTTCAGTTTGGTGAACAGTAAGCTGCAGATTTTGCTTCTTGGTTAATAATCTTCTTTCTTTGCTTTAACTCGGCCTCGAGTGCGGGTATCCAATACGGGTGCGGATCTAGAAGTCGGATCCTTCATGATCTAAATTTTAAGATTGGGGGTTACGGATCCAGGTATGAATATGGATGCGGGGATTCGACTATATCTAACAGTAGAGCTATAAAAATATGCGAAAATTATCAGACATTATGTGAAAAACTTACATGTAGCATTTAGAGTGCAATAACTCAAATCTTTATTCTCAAGTTGTAGGTAGTCATCTCGAAATCTACAGTAGCTTTTGTCTTGAGAAATCAAAATGCCAAATCTTATCTCTAGTTTCTCCGTAGTTTGTGGTCAAAGTACCTAATGTTGATTGGCTAGATACCGTATATGTATTCCACACCCATATTAGTGTCGGTGTAGTGTCGACACAGGTGCGGCACCACAAATGAAGAGTCCGTGCTACTTAGGCGATCAGGATAATGGGATATATATACTGATGTTGAAGTACATACCTTGAATATTTACATAGACAAGAACAATTAAAAGTTCATCTGTTCTTTTTGCAGGTACTGTACCAACCAGGTGTCTTTAGCACTTTTCTGCCAGGTGAACATGTTCCTTCTTGGTTCAGCTCAAAATACACGAAGGAATCGCATACTTCTTTCAAAGTACCTACTTGTAATTCCAGAATTGAAGGCTTGAGTTTTTGCATTGTGTACAAGCGTTCCACGTTTGGTCTCAGTGTTCACCGGCCCCCACGCCTAACTCCACCTTCCAGAATAGCTCCTCTTGCCATGCGCAAAGCTCAAGGGGGACCCATTCGATATCGGCCAGTGGAAAATAAACCATATGAATCAACTTTTGACTGCCCGTGCATTATAGTTAATAACTTAACTCGGAGTTTGAAATGGTCTTACCAGCCCTTGTTCTATGGAGTTCCGGAAGGGAAACAAGGAATGATTTGGTTAAGCCATTGGAAACTTGAGAATCAGTTGGGCAGTGATGATATTCTGGAAATCACAGTTACCTCAGGAGATGGAATCACAATTCTAGAGTTTGGGCTCAAAATTCTGCATGTTGAAGGGCCAAAAGTGCAGATAATAGAACCAAGTTGTGAAGATGCTAGAGGAGAGAAAGATATTGTCAATCCATTTTGGGATGTTGTTTTGGAAGATGCTAGTTCAAAGAATACTTGTTCTGTTCGGCTTCCTCCTACTTATCGTCCCCTACGTGTTGCTCGTGAGCCATTTCTGGAGAAGGCGCTCAAAAGAAATATGTCAGAATATAACTAGGGAACCTATTAAGCAGCAATTACATTTATTGTATACCATCTTCAATATACTCTGTGGACCTGCCTGTGCAAATCCCTGCTGAGCTTTATACTTGTATCTACAAATCTTGGAACTTTGGCAACAAATACCCTGATCTCATGGAGCCATTTCTGTCACAGCTAAACATTGACGTCTCTTTGTTTTAACCAAGAATTTCTCCATACATTATGAGCTTACATTTTTTGAGCTTTGGCTCCAATTTCAATTCAATCAGTTTGGCCATATACACTACACAGATGTGATATACGGATCAGATTTATTGAAACTGCTAATGATCGTTAGGATTCCGCGATAAACACAAAAACAAGAAGAAAAACAGGGTTGTTTTTGGGGTAGCCCTGCTCCAGAAGTATTCAGTGAGCATGAAGTTTAACGATATAGATTTTTTCTTTATTCATGATTTTAATCTGCTTTGAAAAGACTAACTAAAAACAAAAAACAATTTAGCAAGATTGATTTCACAATAACTCCGATTTTTTTATCATGATTTTATGTTTTAAAAAGGATCTAAACAAGAACCGATACAATAAATAAATCCAAGTGAACCAACCTCACATCAAAGGAAAGTTATCACCAAGGCCAATCTGTTAATAGAGAAGATGAGCATTTGATACATGGCTCTCTCTAGCAATAACTTAGTTCAGGAACAAAACTAATAGATGACACAGATACCTAGGATTACAAAAAGAGTTTGAGGGCGGAGCATACAGGCAAGGTGAGAAAGACAAACAAAATAAGAAGATCAAGGGTGGCTAAAATTGTATCTTTATTCATCATCTTGGACTTTGGACTTCTTTTTCTTCTTTTTAACTTCGCTTGCAGCTTGGAGTTCCTCTCCATTTTCCTCCTTACTCTTCTTTTTCTTTTTCTTTGCTGTTCCATCCTCAGGAACACCATTGGTCTGATCCTCTTCATGCTCTGGCTCCTGTTCTGTTTTCCGCTTCTCCTTCTTCTTCTTCTTCTTTTCAGACTTTGGTTCTTCAGAGGCATCACCATTTGTGACAAGTGGGTTATCCTCAATCATGGGTTGAGCATATTCCACCACCTCAACTTTGGATTTCTTTTTCTTGCTTTTCTTTGCTGAAGGCTCATCAACATCCATTTCTGTATCTGCAGCACAGCGCAAATGTGTCATACAACCTCAATGCAGAAGCAAAAACAAGGATATCCAACAAAATTCTAGGAATTAGTTCGAACATGTTCAGCCAATAAGCAAAAAGCATATTTAGTCTACATGTAGTCATGCATGCAAATAAAGTCTGACTAGGTAGCATTTACTGAACAAGTACAACTGCAGCATGATACAACGTTTAGAACTTTCATCATATCGGCAACACATTGTCAAGAATGTGCACTGTGCAGGTACACTTTGTACCAATTCCATTGGTTTGAACAATGTTAGTCTATATCTTCGCCTCAAAGCTTAGGAAATTTAGAATGTTCAGTATACAGATGGTAACTCATTAGGATGAATAGCTTCATTCGCCCACAACTCACCTTTGCCTTCGACTGTTTCAATAGCAGATTTCATCACATCTATGTTTTTCCGTGGTGCAACCCCCTTGTCATAAAAGTCTAGACGCTCCTCAACTTGTTCACGGAGTTTCTCCCCAAAAGTAGTAGTACTCGTATCTGTAGATAAAATATGAGAAGTGAAGCAAAAAAAGAAAAGGAAGAAACAAAATCCTGCACGAGAAAAAAAAACATCAACTAATGAATGAATTGTTTGCTGGAACAAAGACTGACCTAAGAAACAGTCTAGGCGAGAAGCAATCGAACATTTGTTTGCAAGATAACGAGCCATTCGACCTTTGTTACGAGCAGATGCACGGCCGATGAAGGAAGAATGGAATATGAGTCCATATTTTGGTGTATTTCCTTTGGTTTTCAAGGCCCTGAAACCAGATGATAGGAATCGACACTCAGAATATGATTAGACAAAATGTTGGGATCATATATAGCTGAATAAAATAATCCAAATAGGCTCAGCACCACAACCCACCTGCAAAACCTGATATATGAGACGATCAGCAAGTGCAAACTAGAATTAACAAGAGTAGATTACCTAAAGAGTGCCTTCTCAGCACCAAGGATCTGAAGGGTAGAAGAAGGGCACTTTGCCAAATTTGTGAGACTACCAGCATGAGAAATTAAACGAGCACCAACAACTTCACCAATCAGAGCAGCCAAATTCGGTGCTATGTCATGCATTTTAGCAACAAGATATTCATAAAGATTCTTCCTGTATTCGACAAGGTCCATTACCCTCTGTGCAAACATCTTGACATTAATCAAGTCAACTGGCGACAAATCCTGGCCTGGAAATTAGAACAAAAGAAGTTAACAGAAGGAATAACCATCCTTTGATCCTTTCTGTGACTTGAGAAATGATAATCTCATACCCATAGATGCTTTTGCAGCTTCTACAATTTCTTTCGCTTTATCTTCATCTCCAACTATTTCTGTTAAGTCTGGAATTTTGTCTTCAGACAATTGGGATTTGTCATCAACAAATTTTGCAACTTTGGCATATAGATAATTGTCATTGACAATCTTCACCAACTCTGGGAAATGCCAAGAGTACCATTCTCTGCATCAACAAGTATTTGACGGAGAAATAAATCAGAAATCAAATGGAGGGTAGCATTCAGAACAAACATATACTTCATGCGTATTGCAGAAACTAGAAAGGTATGCGATGCAAGAACATTGAACCTAATACCGAATAGTGGCCTAAGATGTCTTTATAGCTATACCTGTTACAGAAATAAGTTGAACTAATAGAGGAATGGCAAGGACATTACAAGTCTGTATCAGACTATCCATGCATCTACAGGCATGAATTATGCTCTCTAGGGTGAACAAAATATATTCATTTGAGACCACAAATCAAGCATAAAAAAGGTAACTTTACATTAGTGCCAACTTGATTATAATATGGATATATCATGTTAAAACTGACAACACACAAAGTGGAGATAAGACAACGAAGAAACAAACCTGACTCTCATGGAAAAGGTATTAATATCTTTATCAAGAGTATCAAGTAGGACAATTGCCTGAGTAACCATATTGTCAACACGATTAACATTGAACTTGACCTTTGCTCTGCTGTAACTGTGACTCAGACCAAGTTGGGCTTTCTCCAGATCTCCAGGCTACAAGAAAAGGTGCAAAAGAATAAGCAAAAGTCACCTATCTGAAGTTTCTCAAATTTCATCAGGCTCGCGTGCCTGTTCCTTCAATTTTATTTTTATTTATGACAGGCTAAGTGCCTGTCCCATTGTTTTTATTCCAAAACAAACAATATTCATAGAAAAACCAAACCACTTGAACAGATGAGAGAAAAAAATCAGGGATACTTCATAGTGGACTATGGCAAGGATAAACTCCATGGTAAATGGAGGAAGAAAACAAACCTTTAGGTTTTCAATGAACTTCTCAAAATGCAAGCGTACTCCACGCAGAAGCTCAAGAATAAACTCGTTACTTTGGCAGGGAATTTTAGTTACTTCATGGATATGAGAACCAAGCTTAGGCTCTGCCAATCCTAAACTGAACTTAGCCTTCTTACCCTCCTTGACTTTTGGGAGACTTCGCTCCAAGAAGTTCCTTAGCTCCTCGGTCATTTGCCCTGAAATCACAATTCCAAAAATCCAGTAAGACCAATAAATACAAGAACAAAACTGAGGGAAAGTATCAAGTAGCTCAATGTGTCAGACAATTGGAACACCCACATTTTCTCAGCATTTTAACACTATTAAGTTACTTAAAACCCAACTAAAGGTAACATCAGTAGTGAATGTGGATTTATGACCTGGAAAATAAAGTAGGTTAATCTACAAGCAGTAAAATCACATTACTAGCGTGAATTCTACACATTGCACATGTATAGAACTTAAATCCTATGCAATTGCAATCTTCTAAATTTTCGAATTTCAGAACTGGGGTTTTTTGGAGCATAAAGACCTAGCTAATGCAACAAATAAAAAGAAGTAATTGACAATAACCTGCAATACATCAAAGGCACTATCGTTTGACCCCATGAAAATCTTGGAACACCAAAAAACAGACACTTCTACTTCAATCAAACTACAATTAAAAAATACCTCTTTTTTAATATGAGACTTTAGTCACCATGCAGCACAACCACAATGTCACTACCTCAGCCAAAACTCAAACAAACTGAAAACCCCATCAAATGAAAGAGCTAAAACCACACATGCAGACACCCAAAACGTGACTATACATAAAATTTATACAAAAGAACAAAGAGAACAAAATTAACAAATTCTATCTGCAAAAAATACAGTTGTTAACCTTCAGAAACGGCATTGCATTGATTGAGGGCATCAAGGGCTGACTCAAAAGGGTTAAAAGCTTCAATCTTTACGACCTTCCCGAACCGATTGAGATCAGTGATGGAGTTGCGAACCGCCTCCGTGTTCTGCCCAATTTCATCAATTCCATGAGCCAAGAACAACGCGTACCCAGACGCCGACTCGTACAGTAGATACAGCGCCATGTACAAGTTGCTTGAGGTTGAACTTCTCTCTTGGTCTCAGCCCCTGTTTTTGTAACTAACTCCAAATGTTTATATTATGTGGGAATTGGGATAGTGGAGTGGGAACAACTAGGGTTAGGGTTTATAAGAGGTTTATAGTGGTTTTATTAGGCAGGGAGAAAAAGGGAAAGATAGGGTTTGGGCTGCATTTGGTAGGCCCATTCTCGAGCTTGGATAAGAATTAAGCCATTTGATGTTAAACGGATTGGGCTCAACCAACAGTATGGTAATTCAGAGTCAAAATAGTATGGGCTAGCCAGTTTCGGACTGGTGATTGAAAAATAGTCAGGATTTGTAAAGTCATTAAAAAATAGCCGCTATTTTATGCGAAGATAAAATCTAGACAAAAATACCCTAGCTGAAACACGAAAAGTTTCAGCATAATATGCTAGATTATGGAGCTCCTGCGTATAAACTTCCTACATATTATGAAATTCCAGCATATTATGTTGGAATCTCATTTGTAAAGAAATTCAAACTCCAGTACATTATGCTGTAATATTTCCGGATTTTAAGAATATTTTTGTTCAAATTTATTTTTACATATAAAAGTGGCTAAATTTCGATTACTTTTAAAAATGTGGCTAATTTTCAATTAGTCGTTGTAAATCATGCTATTTTTTATTTATTTTTTTCCTAATTTAGATGGGGGATTGGGCC